GGGTTTGAACCGCCAGTCTCCTGGTTAGCAGTCAAGTGCCTTAGGCACTATGCTACCAGAGCTCCCAAATCACAATTAAAAAAACAAAATCCCCTGGGGATAGAGCTGAGCTTGAGGTCAGCTGATCCATGCATTATAGGGGATTATATACTTATAATTCCAGGAATCCCTGGGTGGTGCAAACTATTAGTGCATTAGGCTGCTAACTAAAAGGTTGGAGGTTGGAGTCCGCCCAGAGGCACCTTGGGAGAAAGGCCTGGTGACCTACTTCCAAAAAATCAGCCACTGAAAACCCTATCAATCACAGTTCTACTCTGAAACACATGGGGCCTCCATGAGTCAGAATTGACTCAGCGACAACTTTTTTTTTAATTTATAATTCCTAGATATGGACACCCTGAACAGGGGGAGTGGACCCCAACAACATCCAGGTGAAAGGGTTGATGTAATGAAAGAAAAGCTGTCAAAATTATGGCAGAGGAAGAAGAGCTCTTGGTAAGATTTTTTACCACTCTGAACCTATTTTCTATCTGTAAATTGAGGATCATAAAACCCACCATTCCCAGATATGTCATGTGTTTGAGTGAATAGCACAGGGCTGATCCATTATAGGCATTTAGAAATGGTAGCCATATCTCTACCAAGACTGATGCTAAGAAAATAACTAGAAAAATGTAAGATTTAGGATCAAAGAAGTTTACCCTAACTTTTTCTGTAATAGTGGAAAACTGGGAGCAAAGACCACAAAATAAGGGTTTTGTTGAATAAATTAGACTTCATACTTGCAATGGAATGCTTTGTTTAAACCTCTGGGTGTGGCTTCAATTAGTCAGGCCAAACCCAGGAAGTGATATCTGGCTCCCGTAGAAAAGGGGTTAAGACACCATCTGGGTTATCTTTGACTTCCAGGACATCAAACATGCTATTTCATCCTTCTGAAAGTTACCATTTCTCCAACCCCTTCACCCATAAACATAACTGGCAAAAACTTAGTCAAACATCAGGTCTCAACTAACATGGCACTTCCTCTAACTAACAGGCTAACTTTACCTGATCTTGCTAAAGATTATTTATCATTTTGTTGTAATTGCTTGTATAATTATCTGTCTTCCCCACTTAGTTAATATCCTCCATGCCTAGCACAGTGTTGTTTCCAGGTACACTCCCATCTCAGGTGTTTGCACTTGCACTGGCTGTTCTCCCTGTTCCTTCAGATATCCCTGTGCCTTGATTCCTCACCATCTCAAGTATTTGCTCAAGTGTCACCTTCTCTATGAGGCCGAGCCCGAACACTCCATTTAAAACTACATATTCACCCATCAGCATTGCTTCAAAAAAAAAAAAATTTACCCAGTGTCTTGGTTCTCTAATGCTGCTATAACTGAAACACCACAAATTGGTGGCTTTAACAAACAGGATTATATTCTCTTATATAGAGCAGGAGGCTAGAAGTCCAAATCTAGAGTGTTGGCTCTAGGGGCTGGATGAAGGCCCCTCAACCTTGGGCTTCAGCTCTGCCTCTTATTCCAGGCCCACTGGAGCAAGCTAGAGGCTTCTTCTGACTCGGGCAGCTTCGGGTTAATGAGGCTGATGAACCCAAGATTGACAGGCAAAATGGCATGCTCTCAAGATCGGCAGGCAACACAACGGGCCACTTGTTCAAGTCCAGGAACCAGAGATGAAGACTTGGCCAAATGCAGGGTCCAAAAGGTGCCAAAAACATTTCTCAAAGCTTTTACTTATATACAGAAAGCAGACCACATCCTGAAGGCAACAACTGCTTAGCTGCTCACAGCAGAGTCCACCATGGAGGTGATTATAATCGCATCATAGGGAACAACTACATTCAACTGCCCAGCCACTCAAAACCATGGCCCAGTCAAGTTAACATACAACTTTAACTACTACACTTGGTGATAAGGTTTTGTATGTGTAGAGAAATGTGTGCCAATTATCAGGCATTGTTAGAAATACTGCTCATTACCATCCTTTCTTACTTTCTCTTTATCACTGATAACTCTGAGCAATAGAACCTAGCAATTCCATTAACAACAGATTATTTTACATATTAGTTGTATCACTAAATTTTTAATAACTATACAATCCTAATACCCATGATCTG